ACAGAATTGACTCCTGCAACTTACGAATCTATCCCACGTGTCTGCGGGCGCTTAGCTGTAGATCGCGGTTGTTTTCTTGGCACTGGTTTTGTTTGTTGTCTCGTAGTTGGTGTCGCGGTGCGGGCGTGTACGTCGCGGGCGTGGACGAGGACGCGATATACACCGAGGCGGACTTGTTCGCGGAGACACGGCGGTGGGCACGTCTGCTCGGTACCAAGTTTTCAACGGAAGAGAGTGAATGCCGGAAGACGCGAGCTGTCATAGCTTTTGAGTGAACCGGTGGTTCGAACCGGTTCACCGAGAACTGATCTGGTTCGACTAGTTCGACTAGTTCGACTAGTCGATAAAGTACCCGATTCAGCAATCTCTGAGGTGCTGAACTTAGCTTATTATTTTAACTTAATTGTCCCTATTTTAAATATACTTCACGGGCGTTTTGCTTACGGCTCCAATGCCAACAAAAAGGGTTTTAATCATGATAATCGCTTCAGTGCCGTCTTACTATATAGGCTTACACTCAGGGTTTGCATTTACTACTCCATAGCAGCAAAATTCATAAAAATATTGCTATGCTATTGCTACCGCTCTCGCTTTGACGAGAGCCGTAGCAGAGCCGTAGCAGAAGATCGGCAAAGCCTATGCTCTGCTATGCTCGTAGTTTTTTCGCTTCAAAAACTAGCCGTAGCCGTAGCAAAAAATTGAGAGCGAGATGAGAGCAGAGCAAAGAGAATTTCGTCATATGCTACGGCTGCCGCGTGCCCCTGTTTCTCTCTCTTTCTGTCCTCCTGTGTTTTGTTTTTGTTTTCTGCTGCAGCGAGAGCCGTAGCATATGACGAAATTCTCTTTACTCTGCTCTCATCTCGCTCTCAATTTTTTGCTACGGCTACGGCTACGCAGAGCCTGCTTTTGAATTTTTTTGCTATAGCTATAGCGTAGTTTTTGAAGCGAAAAAACTACGAGCATAGCAGAGCATAGGCTTTGCCGATCTTCTGCTACGGCTCTGCTACGGCTCTCGTCAAAGCGAGAGCGGTAGCAATAGCAAAACGAAATACTACGGGAGTAGCGTAGTTTTTCAAACGCTGCTTACCCTATGGCTATAATATGGGGGAATATTTATATGCTTAACGTCTAGGACTTAATTTATCTGAGGGGTTGTGCGCCGAGGGAAAAGAGGCGTCACAAATTTATTTTATTATGTTGTATTATATATTTTAATTTATTCGATTTATTTTATTTTATTTTTTTTTTTTGTATTTTTATTTTATTTTATGTATTTTTGTTTATTTTATTTTAGAGTTTTATCTATTTATTTAATTATTATTTTATTTCATTTATTTATTTTATTTTATTATGTGTCGGCGTGCGTACTCGGGGTCGCGTTTTTAGGATCGCGCAGGATCCGTTTTGTGCATTTAAATCAGGCGACAGGATCACGCAAAATCCTCTGGGTACCCGTAGTATTATTTAATTTTTTTCTAGGGATCGAAGGGACTCCCCGTTGAGGCTTGAATGCGACGGAGAAATGTTAAAAAGAAAATAATTCCTCAAAGAAAATTATTAGCCACGTCGAAAGGATATATTGATAGGCGTTTGTGAATGTTTCTCCAAGAAATTTATTTGCGACGACGAAAAATAAGCAAAGTCTTACGACGAGAGATTATTGATAATTGTTCTTTTGTTGGCTAGTGTAGCTTTTTTTGTCGGTGCCCACGGCAGCAGCGGCGCAGAACAAAACAAGAAAACTATAGTGGCAGAGGACGTTGCTCTGCCGGAGTTGACGCGGTCAGTGGCGTCGGTGCGAATTTCTAGCGGTGTAGCGATGCTAACTTTTGGCGGCAATATTCCTTGTGGGGACTGGAAAATTTTATTGTCTATTTCTTTTGCACTTTGTTTCGCTGCTACTGGCTGACGCCGATATGCCACATGTACATATGTATGTGCGAAGAAAAAACTGCCGCTAAGACCTAAAAATGTTTGGCTCGTGGGGCTTTTATCCACCAAGACGATGATGTCCTTTATGTCCTGAGCGGTCCCTGTTCGGGCGCCATGTAGGGAAGCGTCTCTGTGGCCGGGGTAAACCTCAGCGACCCAGAGTTCCCCTCACAATATTTTTTTTAATGAGATGCCCGAGTCATAAAGTGTCAATATTTATTTGGTTAGGGTAGAGGGGCGGTGAAGGGGAAAATTGCCGGCCGCGCGAAATAAACCCAGACACGACGAATCTACCTATGAAGCGGGACCCGGAACGATCAAGCGGCCAATACCCGCCTCCTCGCCCGAAATTCTCCAGCGGTGGGACGGGTGGTCGGAATTCCAGCGAAATTCCAGGAAAATCCAGCGACCAGCCCCGGATCCTCGACCGGAATACTCCAGCGGTGGGATGGCTCAGAGGGCTCGGAATGCTCCAGCGGTCACGCCCACGCCCACGGCCGGAACAATCCAGCGGCGGGGCGCCTCTCCAGCGGCGGGATGGCTCTCTTAGATGGGCAAGGGGAGGCGGGGAACCTGCGACCTCGCTCGAGAGCTCGGACTACTACTCCCGCCCGGCTTTTTTGAATCGTAACAACTTTCAACGGAGCGGTATATCTTAAAGATTGACATATATAATTAATATACGCTTCAATACCTTTCGTTTGATGTATATATTGTGTTTATTGCTTATGCTTATTACATTCTACAAACAAACAAGGATACCGAAATACACCGGTCAACTTAATATTTTTACGTTTCTCCCAAAATAATATTCAGAGAGTTCACCGTTTTTTCGATATCCGTAAAGTGATCTTATTACACAAAAAACAAGGAAGCTAACTTCGGAACGCCGAAGTTTGTACACCCTTGCAGATTGCAATTGGATCATTAAGAATCGAGCCATTCTGGTTAAATAATTAAAAAAAAAGAAAAAAGATATAAAAGTTGTATATTTATACATACCATACGTACCACAAAAAAAATGCTGAAAACACACACAAAACAGAGTTTCATAAAATTTTTCCTATACTTATTGTGTTTACAGTTTGACAGTTACAGTTTTACAGTTTCTCTACATTTACCGATCGCTTCTACAGCAGCTATAAAATTTATCGAACATTTGTATGGCAGCTATATGATATAATCGTCCGATCCAGCCCGACATATATAGCAGTGAGAGTATATAGAAGACTATATCCAAAGTTTCATACAGATAGCTTTAAAACTAAGGGACTAATTTGCGTATAAACTGACAGACGGACTTGGCTAGATCGACTCGACTGTTGATGCTGATCAAGAATATATATACTTTATAGCAGTGGCAGATCCACGGGAGGGGGGAAATTAGGGAAATTAGAAATTAGAAAGATTCGGGAATCTTCTGGATGATGACAAGAGCGTACAGAAATTGAAATTCAAAGTTGAATTGAGTTACTGGCAATGTCACTGGCAGCAGCAACAAAAAATTGAAGGTAACGAAATTCCAACTTCTGCACTGGAAACACTAATAAAATGTGATGTCGGCATATTCCTAACAATCCGCACCTATCTCCGAGTATTCTGTACACTTCCCGTAACAAACGCGAGCTCTGAACGTTCTTTCTCTTATCTTCGCCACATCAAAACATGGCTTAGGACGACCATGCTTCAAGAAAGACTAGTTGGATTAGCGTTGCTCCATACGCATCATGACATCGAAATCACCGCCGAAGAAGTCATCGAAAGATTCGCAAAACTTGGCAGCCATCGTTTTGCGTTATGAAACACGCAATGTAAAAGCATTTTTCGGTTTGAATTTCGAATAAAATGAGCCCCTCTGTAATGCAGGCATATAGTTGACTTTTCAAATATAACCACTTTGTTTACCTAAAAATTGGGATGGATCATTTATGTTTTATAATTTGTACTGTATTTTTGTCGCAATAATAAGTTTGAACCCCAAATCGAAGAATAAGTTCAATTTACCCCACAAAAAACTTAATTTTCTTCTCGCAGGTCTCGTCGCTCTCCATCGCCATGATCTCGCTCTCATACTCAATGGAATGACTTTCCTGCAAATGCCTTCGCAGGTTGGTTATGTACTGGCCTTTGAAGAACCGATTGCAAATGTTGCACTTTGAACCATTTTTACTTGGATCGAAAATAAAAAATTCGCGGACAATTACTTCACGTTTTCGACCCATATTGATTAAAGACCAAATGACAAGAAATTCCTGAGTAATTGTCTCAGTATTCTTGTTTGTTTGTGTAACGGTGAATTTTTTGTTATATGCACTTATGTACATACATGTAATATATATTTGTGCATAAGCCATAACCACAATATATAATATAATATATCAAACGAAAGGTCTTGAAGCGTACATTATTTATATATATATATATATATATATATATATATATATATATATATATTTATATAGTATTATTTTAAAACTTGAAAATGACAGTTATGACTCAACTTTAATATAACAATTTAAAAATAATAATTTTTCTACCACTTTTTTTATTAAAATTTAAATATAAAAGTTAAACAAATTGGTTATAAAAGTTTGTTTATTTTTAAAAATTCCTTCAAAAATTATGGTATACCTAAATTTTTAATCTTTCCAACTCATTGTTTTGGGAGTAACATTTATTTTACTCATAACTCTTATTTGCGATCTCTTTTTTTTCTGGTACATTTTTTCCTGTCCTCCGCCTCAAATATAGTCCATTTATCGAAGTTCCCATATGCCACACATAGAAACACCCGACACATAGCCGCCGGTTTATATATGTATGTAATTTACCAAACACATGTTACTTTTTGACAAAGCAGTGGTAATTATAAAACCTACTTGCCTTAGCTAAATGGACCTATACTTATAACTCAGAACATCACTTGTATAATAAAGAAAGTCAGCAACGTTTGCTTCATTTACAGCGTACTTGTGCGACAGAGGCTCCGCAGAAATATTTGTTTTAGTTGAATATCTGCTGTTGATATGACAAGGTGCGAGTGTATATTTATTTTGGCAGTATTCTGCATGAACCTGGGGCAGTATACAGCAACAAAAGATGTTTATTTTAGAACAAAGCGATATTTAATATTTCCTCGACAAGCTCCAACGAGACATCAGGTAAAATTTATGTTATTAATATACTTCATAAACTCATCCTATAAATTTTATATATTCTTGTGCGAGCGATAAAATAACAAGTTAATGACTTGCATGCCCTTGTTTGTTTCTGTTTTAAGTTTTATTACTATGTTGGAGAAAGCACATTGCTTTTTGTATGCTTTTAAAGTTTAGAAAAAATATAGCTACATTTTAGGTGCGTAAAACGCCTTATAGCCTAGTTAGGAGAATAAAACTAAAATTTCAAAACCCAAGAACAGGCTGGAGGCATGAGGCATGCATATACATTTTCGAAATTGTGTTTAGCTTGTCCGTATTAAGGACTGATACGATTATTACAGGGTGACAATAAATAACCCGGACAAACATTTTTGATGATAACTTTTTAAGGAACTGTGTTTGAGAAAAAATGCAGATACAGAACTATTAAATATGTATTGTGTTATTGTGTATTTGTAGTCCATCGGATTAAGATCTGGCGAGTAAGGTGGCCATTCACTGGATGTGATAAAGTCCGGAAAATTGGCTTTGCACCAGTCCTGAGTCAATTTGGCTCTATGGGCTGGCGCTGAATCCTGTTGAACCGTCCACTCCGTATCACCGAAGTGCTGCTGGGCCCAAGGAAGCACAACAGTTTCCAAAATGTCCCGGCGGTACACTTCCTGATTGATTTTGACCCCTTGATCGATGAAAACAAAGGGGGTTTTGCCGGTGGCGCATATTCCTCCCCAAACCATTAAAGACTGCTCACATTGACGGCGCTCGATTATTGCAGAGGTACCTGGAGCTTCAGCCGACCAGCTTCTGTCATTTTGGTGATTGTGCGCCTGTTGGATGGTGAATATCTTCTCGCCCGTGAAGAGAATGCGCTCCCATTTTTGACCTGCGGCCCGACGCTTTAGCTGACGGCATCTTTGGAGTCTCACGCGCTTATGGTCACCCGTAAGAAGCTGCACTTTTTGGAGCTTGTAGGGCTTGAGATTAAGTTATTTTTTTTTCAATCAACCGAATACTTTCTCGATTCACTCCGATTTCACGGACTATTTTTCTGACCGAGACTCTGCCATTACGAGTGATCCGCTTTGGCGATTTCCTTATTGAAACAGTTTTAAAATGGCACAACGATTGTTAGACATCCCGAAACAAATATGCAATTGATGGATTTAAATTGATTTAAATGCTAAAAAACACTTAAAACAAAGTTTCAATACTGTTTAGAGGAGGCATTAATTTATGCCACCTTTTTTGCGAATATTTAACGAGAGAGAATTATGCGTGTGTCAGAACGGTGTTAAAGGAAAAGCCGAAATGTGGTTCGATTTCAAATGAGTTTATTGTGGGAGAGAGCGAACGAACTGCTCCGTACCAGCGATCAAAAGCGAATGTTAATGATGAGAGTGCGTAGGTCCGAGAGAGCAGCGAGCGCAGTCGCTTATCTCGGCTTATCTTATGCAAAATAGATAATTGGGAGCTTTTGTTTACATTGTTGTTGTCAGTGATGCTGACCAAATGGCAAACAATAAATGATTTTTAAATGATTTTAAATTGAATGCAGCGGCTGCTCCCGACAAATACATTTATTTCACTTACATATACTTATTATATTTACAGTTTGACAGTTACATTTTTACATTCGCAGCTTTACATTTTTCTGTACGCCTATCGTTTCTTTGGCAGCTATATGATATAGTCATCCGATTTTCATAAAATTACAACAGAAATTCTTAAAGAATAATAAAAACACATATCTCAAAGTAGATGAAAATACGTTGAAAAACAATGAATTTAGCATTTTTTTTTATTAATTTCCCGATTGTTCATATTAAAACCGAAAGCCTGAACTAATAAAAAATGGCCATATCTCAAAAAAGAAAATGAGGATATGTTGAAAAACGCCAAGTTATAATTTTTTTTTTAATTTGATAATCATTTCTACGGCAGCTTAAGGATATAAACGTAAATACGACCCGTTCCGACATATGTATATAGCAGTGAGAGTATTTAGAAGACAATATGCAAAGTTTCATTCAAATAGCTTTAAAACTGAGGAACTAGTTTGCGTAGAAACTGACAAACGGACGGTCATAGCTAGATCGACTCGGCTATTTGGGTGACCGGTGCTGTTCTCGGTACTATTTTCGGAAGCAATGAGTGTGTTTGGGTATGTTTGTAGTTAGCCGTATACCAATGCAGAATAGCTGTGATAACGAGATTTATATGTCCATATTTATTTATACGTTAATCAACCATAACAATGATACATAACAACAAACGATAAATAATAATTTATAATTTACAAAGCCATTTCAGTTATTGGTGTAGGACTCGAGTTCTTTGCCTCCCTCTTAACCAAAGGTCATTTGGATGCCGTCTCTTCAGCCTTCGTCAGGTCATGGGGATGGCCATGATTCCGCTAGGTGGTTGGTATGGGCCAGAAGCCGTTCATTATATAGACTTAAGTACCTGTTGATCTGCTCCCTCGCTGTTAGCATTTGGAGGTCGTTAGCGATGTCTGCATTTCTAGCAAACCAGGGTGGATTTGTGATCGTGCGCAGCGCCCAGGTTTGGACCCTTTGCACTTTAATGACGTTAAATTCGGACTCAGTACCCCATATCTGGATGCAATAGGTCATAGCAGGGACAACTATTGCTTTGTAGAGCAGCATTTTGTTGCTGAGGCTCATTTTGCTTGTGGACTTTAGCATCCAGTTTAGCTTTCTTAGTTTTCCACGGCATGCTGTTGCTATTTTGGTGGTGTGCTGCCTCGACGTGAGCCGCTTATCAAGGATCAATCCCAGGTATTGGGCCTGAGGAGATTGAGGAATTAGCTTGTCCTGCAGGGAACAATTGCAGTGTTGCGACTTATTTCCATTTATGGATATGTTCCACCTCTTCGTCCACTCGCTATATATGTCCAAAAAGTTTTGCGGTTTTCTAGCAGCCTCGATTCGTCACGCTGAATTTGCGATAAAGGCTGTGTCATCAGCATAAGTTGCATGGAGTGTTCCGGTTCTCTGGGATTAGGCAAGTCAAATGTGTAAAGGGTGTATAACACAGGACCCAAAACACTAACTTACAGTATGTCACATCAACCATGAATTTTTGCTCCAGCAGGTACGATTTCAGAAGGAGGTATTGAGCAGCTGGTAGGAGTTTTTAGCTTAAAAAGCAATCCATTGTGCCACACTCTATCGAAGGTTTTCTTTACGTCAAGGAAGATAGCAGAGCTGTACTGACCTTTTTCTAAAGCATCTAAGGTATGCTGCGTTACTCGATAAGCCTGCTCTGGGTTTCCATGGTGATTCCGATAGTCGAACTGATGATCTAGTTTGGCATCCTGAACACTTCTTACTGCCATCAATCTGCTAAGAAATATTCTCTCGAATATTTTATAGAATGTTGGCAGCAAGCTTTTTGGCCGGTAAGACGCAAAAAGGTTTGCCTGGCTTTGGTATCATCGATATCACTGAGCACTTCCATTGTGTGGGAAGTGATAGATAAACTTCTTCCGGACTTACAAAACGAATGGGCTCTATATATGGGCAGGAAGTATTAAGAAAAGCCAGTTTTGCTTCCACGTCCTCACTTTTACCAAGGTCAAATAGCTGAAATCGACCAAAAGCCACAGAAATTTCTGCATCCGATCTGCACCAAGTGTTGTCAGCACGCTTTATAGGGATTCTGCGTTGGGGCTGCCGTTTTACTGACCTTGCTGCTTTTCAGAGGTTAAATCCATACGGTTTTGTGGGGTCTGCATTGCGTAGTAGATCTGAGAAATAATCGTTTTTCGTTTCATGCAGCAACTTCTTTAGATCGACTTCAGCGCGACGATATCGACGCATTTCCGCGAATGTATCGTAAGTATCGTGAATAGATGGCTGTGGCGCCTCTGTCGAATTCGTACAACCCATTAAAAACTGATTTGATGTTAGGGGTTCTTCGTATACATGTGTGATTGGGTGGATTGATACTGTGCAACGTTTTACTTAATAATCGTTGCATTTTTCGTATCAGCATCTCCCAACATCCTCCGGCGTTAGACTGTAAAGGGCAGTTGAAAATCCCTTTAATTCCCTTTTGGACTGCTTCATTTTCGATGGTATCTTGATCTAATAAATTTTCGTTGATCTGTATCTGTAAAAACATGTCCCGAATATCTGCAGTTACACCGACTTGATTTTGCTTAAGCTGCATTAGAATTGATATGAGGAGTTTTAGATTATCAGGACCTTTAAGTAGCGGCCTTCGACTTCAGTAACTGGATCGAAAACGATGCGCATCTTATCTGGCTTGTGAACTGATTGTACCGAAAAATTTGGAATGTAGCAGACGAGTTTGGACGTATACGTAATTTCCGGGAAACTTAGTTCGCGAGCATAACCCATATCGACATATTTTTGGTTATTCTTGATTAGCTTTCATCTTCTTTTCGACTCCATACAAACTTTTTTCAACCATTGTGTAACTATCTGGCATTTTTACATTTACCTTCCACCGTAATTCGATTATAAAATGTTTCCCATGTGTTTGTTTTTCACTCATCAGCTCTTTTGCTCTTGCATAATCAATTGATTTTATGGGTGGTAAGTTAGTCATTCCGAAATTCTCAGATTCTGCAACAAACTCTGAATTTGGACCATCTTAGCTTTGTATCAATAGCTACTGGTTTTAAACTTCCTCTTACAACAATCCTCTTCGGAAGACCTAAATGGTTGTCAAGTGCGATGAGCAAGACTGGTTCAGTGTCACTGTAATCCAATATAGGTACATTAGTACATCATGTTGATTCTTTGCCAGCGACTGAGTTGGCAAATCGAGACTCTTCACAGCTTGTACATCGCACAAGGTCATTTATGCCAGAAATTTCAAATCTGACCTTTTAGACATTTCTAAACTTTTTCTGTTATCGTACCACTGCAGGGTTATTGGACTTCATTGGCCTTCTAGTCCCAATTGGTCAGGAACAGCTTCCTCCAACAAGGTACCTGAACTTCTGTCAT